CTGTGAAGCACAGATTACCCATGAAGCTGGTTAACATCGGTAATGGCTGCACACGATTCAATGCCCAAGCTGGAAGTGTCTGATCGAAATCCAAGGGATCAACCACGTCAGTTGAGCACGACACTGCGCACGAATGGAAACTTCGTCACAGAAAATTTCTGGAAGTAAGCTGCAAACCAAAGCTCGAGAGCCGAAAGTGGCGATTCGAGTCGGCTAGCACAGCACGACCTGCCAGTTTGGTACATTCACCGAAACTACCACGGTTACCGGGATCAGGAGTTCAAGCACGACATCTCTCTACATCGTTCTCCACGGGTTCCAGACCTAAACCTGCCTAACGCCGAAGTGGGCAGCAACGAGTCGATTGCGGGAATTCTCGGTCGAGAACGGCAATGCAGTCGGGCAAGAAACGCGAAGGTACAACGCTGTCTTCGGACGACCTTCCGTCACCGACAAACGCTTCAGGCCGGCCTGTCGAGAACTATGCCGACCAGCTACCCAGACCTGTGGAAAGACGAACTCGGTGCCTAAAGGATTTTATGAACTCGAGGTTCAAATTCAAACAGTATGCCGCAGCGATCTTCAAAGAAAAGCGGAGGCGGGTTCCTATAGAATTGCGCTTGCCAGGAGGACCTGGGCAAAGCCTTACGATGATGGTATGCAAAAGCCAAGGAGTCTGGAAGCCTGCGTGTCCCAATTCTGCGACTACGCAGCACCCGTGCGTTCCAGTCCGAAAGACGCATACACCTGGCAAACCGAAGCCCAAGATCACGGGTATGCGGCCGATTATTCCTGGTGACTGTCAATCCCCCATGGCTGGAAACAGCATCGTCATCCGAGTGCCTCTCCCAGACGACCTGATGCGGAAACTGGGAGGAGGATATGCTTCACGAGGTTGATCCGCGCAGATGCCTACAATCAAGGTTCAACTAGCCACGCTCAGTCAAAGGACGGCTTAGCTCTGAACACTCACCGCGGAGTGCTGCTACAACTTCGATTTACCGTTCGGCGAAAAGGTCAGCCCGCCGGGTACTTCCAAGAGATTATGGAGCAGCTGCACAAGTGACCTCCAGGGCAGTTGCAGTTTACTATGGACGAGCATACTGGGTTCAGCGCGCAAGGACCCAAAGACCACGTGGAGAATCTCCAGCGCCTCCTGCAACGACGTCAACGTCGGAGGCTCCGACTGGTAGCTGGAAAAGTGCACTTCCACAACCCAGGTGGATACCTTTGCGCATCGGCTATCCAGAGGCTGGAATTGCGGAAGGCCGTCCGAAGGTGGATGCCGCAAGTCGCCAAATGCGGACCGACTAACTGCAGGTCTCGCGCATCCTTCCTGGTGCGTCAGTTCTACGGAAAGTTGCTCTAATGCGAACCTGTCGATGGTTAGCGAGCCCTTGCAAGGGCGCCTAACAAAGAACAGATCGACCTTGGCACTGGGCAGCGGAGGAGAAAGAAAGCGTCAACGACTGCTGAAGGACAGGCTTACGGCCAGACGGAGCGTTCTAGCCACTATATGATCCTTCGCTTAGCCTGGGCATTGCCCTACAAGACGCATCAGATAATCGGACATCGGAGCCGTACCTGCTTTCATCGCTACCAGACCGGGAGCGAGCGCCCGATTGCAACGTGTCGGAAGACTCTCACACAAAGTCCAGCCGAAATTACAGCCAGATTCAGAAAGGAAGGCCCTGGCTATCGTCTTCGCCTCAAACAAGTGCTACAGTACATCTGGGGACGCAAATCACGCTTGTGACGGCATCACAAGCCTCTGATGATCGATGTTCGGGCCGCACAAGGAGACGCCAGCGCTTTCACGGCGAACCGCTTCGCACGTGTTGGGCGTTTACTCCTGAGTCAGCTGCGATTACGAAGATTCGGGAATACCGCGAAGACTGCCGACCACGGCAACGCCGATGGCTCTAAGTCGCCTAGCCTACCGGATCGGTACGACAATTTCGACGGGAGGAAAGTTGAGGACGACATTGACTAGTGTGCGCCATCCGAGTCCTGAGCTACAAGTTAAGGCCAGCGGACGCAGAGATCAATCGGCCAGGAATCGCAACCGACCCGGTAATCTCCAAGTCATTCCGATTACACACGCGAGAGGGTGGCCACCTGAACATTGTCAGCAGAGAAGCGAACCCGAGATATGCAAGATCTCGCAGAACTGTGAGAGTCACTTATTCAATCTGCAACGGATGGCTTACTGCATCGGATCCGAGTGTGTTGATTCCGCAAATCTTCGGCGCTCAAGTTGTGAGCTACTACATCTCGTGCCACTTCGCCGGACCTGCTAGGCGCCATGAAGCAGCTGGCTCGCCACTTGCTGTTTACGGGGCGAATACGATGACGACATCCGAGAACACTGCCGCAAATTGCCATGGCTGCCGTCGAACATCAGAACAAACCGTCAAAACCGGCAGCTTACAACCCTGCGGGATGTTACCAGAGAAGCCATGGAGTTGCGACTACACCCTGGATTCACGCCATCAACTTCCTGGGTTCGAATTGGCTAGTCCTCAATCAGACTCCTTATGCGCAAGTATCCCTGCCATCCATCCAACCAGCGATTACCGCAAAGCCAACCAATCGACCTGCCTGTGAGCAGTGAGCTTCGCCCACTCTGGGCTATCCTCATACGCTGGTCACTGACAATGCCGACTACGTTCCATTCGCGCGGAGAATTCCAGCCTGGTGCAAGGCGACCACGGCACATCATCTAAACCGCGGCGCGCCGTAGTTCATGCCGTGCCTGTACCAAACGGCCCCCGCCGCTGAGAGACTGGTTTCAAAACCGTTCAAGCAACAATGAAAGAGTCAAGTCTTCCTCCTCGAAGAAAGCGTGCCTGAACGTAGCTCCTGCATCCAGTATCGTCGAACTCCACGTCCTGCGGATACTCCCCAAGCGAATTCTCAAAACGGCCGACTAGAATCCGCACCCAAGATCGACACGTTGCTGCCTTCACCGCCACGACGTGGCCAGGAAGAGCAGGCAAAGCAGGCGACAAGTCTCAACGACATATGAAAGTCGCCAAGCCTCTCCCATTGCCTATGCAGCGGGGATCCAGTGTACGCGCGATACTAGCGGACCAAGACGTGATCGGGAACCACCATGGTGCCAGCGATCATCAAGAAACACTGGGCAGTCGACCACGTCAACGTCAGGTAGATCCCCCAGAGCGACCGACGTTGGCGCCACACGGTGAACCAGTTCGCCCTGTCGGTATTACGTTTCCGCGGAAGCCATTGTACTACGAGCGCCGGAGAAGAAACCAACGTCCAGGACACAGAACATTGCTCCGGACTCGTCCAACGATGCCCCTGTGGATCCAGCCTTCCAGGAAACCCGATTCAGCAAACCAGCTGCCGAGCAGGAAGAAGCTAAGGATACCAGCCTGAGGAACCATCCAGCGAGACCGGAAAATCCTGCGACATCGAAAACGTGCCTCAAGGCCACCCAAACGTCCATAATCGCCAGCAAGCTACCCTTTCAGCAGGAAAAGACTCTCAGCCGGTCGGCAGGGGAGTTTTGCGATGGCCGAAATGTGAACATTCGGCGAACATGGCAGGAACCTGACTAGAGTGATGGCGCCACGGGCTGGGGAAGAGGAGGCCCCCATGAATAAACAACGAGGATTCTTTCGAAGAACCGTTTCTTAAACTTAAAAGACTGATCACGAGATAGTGTGGATTATGCAACTCTTATCGGTCGTACCATACTACTTGCTGCTACAAGAAACCGATACTATTGCCGATGCTGTACAATAAACGATACTATTGTTGTACAATAAACGATTTATTTATTGACTCTTTGTGAGAAACACAACACATAGTTAAGCTAGATAACAATATATTAATGAAGAGAGTATTTATACAGCAGATCAAAGAGGAAGGAAAAAATTGGGTAAATGAAATTTTAATAATCCTAAAGGAATACGAACTGGAAATATCTTTTACAGCCATAGGTTTAAAACCAAAAAGAGCCTGGAAAAAACAAGTCAAAGATGCCATAATAAGTAATTATAAGAGACAAATTGAAAACTAGAGATAAAACAAAAATGAAGATGATAAACATTGAAACATACGGATTGAAGAAATATATATGAAAGAATTATCATTTGCCGACTCGTGTTTTGCATTTAGATGTAAAACTTGCATGATTGATCTCAAAGGTTACTTTAGAAATAACTTCAGTAACGACAGGTGTAATAGATGTAATAAGAATATGAAAGAGGACTTGGAACATTTATATAAATGTGATAGCTATAATAAATATAAGGATGGAGAACAAATAGAAGGCTGGAGAGGGGACACCCACGGGGTATTGAAACCAGCGTTAGATTATGTGCGGAAAATTCTGGTGATTTGAAACACTAATATTTAGAGAATTAGAGGCGGCAATAATCTCCTTTTTCTCTAGATAATCCGCGCACTTCGTTGAATCGAGTGCCTTGTGAAATACAAGAGAGGGTGCCAAGATACAAGATACAATACGTGTAGAGCTAGCAATGATCATGATGAATTCATGAACACGTACGCATGGTCATGATATTCGCAGTACATAGAGTAGTACATCATGCATGGGACAGTAGAACTTGAAGATAGAGTAGGCCAGAGGAAATTAAATTAGAGGACAGACAGACACGTTTGGAAATCATACATGTCGTGTAAAGTATCGCCTATCGGTTTAGCGCGTGTGTTCTCCACACTACTGCAGCAGTGACCTGTTTACACGTTCTACACAGCTACCAGCCTACTCCGCTGGACTGTAGGAGTAAATATATTTTATGGCAACTTCTTTTATCATATTATAATAATTATTAGAAATAGTTTCCCACCAATCAAGCTGAATGAAGTTGCATGAGCGTGTCACTAGATGGCAGCAGGTGCATAATTTAAATAAATTGACTTACAATAAAGTACATTTTTAAATTATCATGAAATCCAATAAGCTTAGGTATTTCAAGATGCAGTATTATTATTTGTGTGCTTTCCAGTGTATGAAGTATTCAAGAATGTGGCAGACAAATATGACCTCATGAATGATGTTATGAGTGCAGGCGTACATCGTCTATGGAAGGACTATTTCATGAGTCGTTTGGCACCGACGAGCGAAACCAATCTATTAGACGTTGCAGGAGGAACAGGTACATATACATATAATCAGATAGTCACTAATAACACAGTATTACTGAAGACGCCACACTGTTATTTAAATACAAACATAGGTTGGTATGTTAATGTCGGGAACATTGAATACCTGCCTTTCACAGTGATAGTCCATTTCGCTATGCTATTGAGGACTTATGCATGGTGCAGGTGTAGTTAAGCAGCATCAGTAAAACGTTTATTAAATACCACTTTGTCACAAAAGTCATCTGACTTTTAGAACCAATGAGTTATTCATAGGCATAAGCGCCCATTATTATTCAGTTTACACTGATGATATATTCGGTTCACGGACTTGTACCGATTTTTATCCTCCAGGTGGGAGGATAAACATCCTGAGAATAACTTATCCACAGTACGGTTAATTATGTTGAGACTACTGAACTGTGAATTGATGTGATAACCTTTGACACTGACTGTGATAATCTTTGGGGGCTTAGAGTTAATAGTAAGGTTAAATTAATTTCACAGGTGATATAGCCTTCAGATTCTTGAATTACGTGAAGTCGAGCACAGCTGAGGCATACGACTTCAGCGACTCGAAGCTCGATCTTGATGCAGATGATGTGGTGGTCGATCAAGAGCCGGAAAAGCCGGATGCTGTTAACTCAATGGTTTGTATGTGAAACTCATCGTGTTAAATACCATCTTTTTGATAGATACCAGCACACATGCTCATGCATGCACTCCCGTCCACATACATGCACCCCAATGTTCATTCTGCATTCATACATTTGTCTAGCTACATTTTTCACTAACAATAACTTTACTAAAAGTTAAAATTCAAAGAATGCAGGAGGATATATGTTAAATGGTGTGCGTGTTCCTGAAGATTGAAATTGAGAGGATTAGGGTTCAGTATTGTCGCACACAACATATGTGTTTGCCTATACTCCAGGTTAAATTTTCAGGGTAGTGTAGCAAAGCCCCATGTGACTGTCTTGGACATTAATCAGAACATGCTCGATGTGGGCAAGAAACGTGCAAAGGAAAGTGGCATCCACAAAGGTAATGCTTCTTTCTTCACAATTTTCCTTCTAGCATTTCGCCATTACACAAGCATGAGAATAAAACACACATACACACAGACACGAGGCACAGTAATGCTTTTAACAATCCAATCATGAAGTGGATTCAATTATTTTTCACATTTGTTTGTTTTCCTATTTAACACCGAGTGTTGACAATCGGTTCGTTTTCCAATGTCATGTGAATATCTTTATGAACTACTATTATGTATAATATTAATTCCCTCTGAAATCAGGGTAGAGATGTTAAACTCAGGGAGTGCTGGAGGATATGTCTGGTATGTCTCTGGTTGCTATAAACTCTGTCAACCGATGCTACGCAATACAGTACACAATCTATTATCCGAAACCCTTGCGACCAGACACGTTTCGGAATTCAGAATTTTTCGGATTTCGGAATGGTAGTACAATACAGATATAAATACCGTATATCCTGCAACTAACCAGTACTAAAACCCAAGTTTTCAAGAGGCCAATTGGTGTACCGGTACAGTACAATATGTATGAGTAATGCCAAACACATAAATATTCGTCGGGTCGAGTTTTGGCACCAAACACGAGCTTTGGTGTGTAGGCGACCTCCACGAAAAAACTCGGTTTTTGGAGTCTTTTCCGTTTTCAGAATTTGGGATAATAGATCGTGTACTGTAATCGCTGACTCCGTAACCCCGGGTGGGAATGTTACACGTGGGTGGGTGTTGAGTGACAGGCTCATACTGCAGCGATCCGCACCCGTGCATGTCAGCAATTCGGTTGTCGCTGAGCAGACGACAACGCTGATGACGTGTGGTCACGGTGCGGTGGTTGACTCGTGTCTGCGTCTGTTGGTGTCTGCAGGCATGAGTTGGCTGTGTGCCAATGCAGAGAAGCTTCCGATACCAGACAACAGCTATGACGCGTACACGATAGCGTTCGGCATCAGGAACTGCACACACGTAGACAGGGTAAGCTCTGTTCTATCTGGTCGCACGCGAGGCCAGGTTCCCCCACTGTCATCGCTAAACTTTTCAATGAAATAAATTATATATAATATTACTGGCAAACTGTTTCAACTCGCACGTCGAGTAACTGGTTGATTAATTTCATTTATTTGTTAATTAATGTTATCAAATATGATGTGTAAATTGTTCAACCTGTACCTTTCGGTTGATCTTCAATTTTCTGCTTCATATGATCCTTCATGTTTGGTTAGGGTATCACAGCACTAGAATTAATTTAATGGTAGCCTCGCAAAGTGAGACGTGAGAGGAAATCTAATTTGTCAGGTTTTTTTTAACCGGTTGGATCGATCACGTTGAAG